GAAAAAGCTTGAAATGCCATGGTGTGTTCAGGGAATAACAAGTAGCTCAATAATGCTGGAGCATAAAGTGCACAGGGGGCAGAAGCAAAAGATGAAGCTGGAGATAAAAGAGGCTGTATCATAAAACAGATTTTACTTTGGGAACTACAACAAATTTTATGTGGGGAGTGACATAACCTGATTTGTAAATCAAATCAAGCCTGTAAACATAGTAAAAGATGGACTGGAGGGAGAGAGACTAAAGGCAGGGAGACCAGGAAGACCAGTGAGCAGGATTAGCATATTAGAGATAATGAGAGCTGAAGACAGTGAGGATGGAGAGGTGGCAATGGATGTGAAAGATATTTAGAAACAGGATTATCAGACATAAGGTGGCAAACTTCTAATCTTTTGCTTATCAGTTATGGGAGAAAATATTAGGATCCATAAAACTGATGAATAATTCCAAAAAATAAAAAAAGTTTGGTCCCACTCCACAGCCTACTGGTTCCCAGGAAATAGAAAACACTCCAGATATGAACCCTTTGCCTTTCAAATTTAAAACTGCTTTTGGATTTGTAAAATAGAGGTAACAATTTTTTTTGGGGGTGGGGGTAATTTAAACCAAAATTGTTCTGTATCGATTAAAGAACAGAGCAGATCAAAGTTGTAAAATGACTTAAAAAATGATTACAAGAGCAAAGACTTAACTTTAAGTATAGTCTTAATGTTCTCCCCTTCCAAAACCAAACCAAATACACTGCCATCGAGTTGGATCCGACCCATAGCGACCCCTCCTTGGGTTTCCGAGGCAGTATCACTACGGAAGTAGATTGCCCAACCTTCCTTCTGAGGAGTGGCTGGTGGGTCTCATCCCCGAAAAAGCACTTTAAAATACCAGAAAGATTTCAGTTATATAAAAAAGGATGATCAAATTACAAGGGCTGCCAACCCTGGGCTGTTACTCTAAAAAAAGGATGTCCTCCTCTAGAGATATCTGACAGAGCTCCAGTGGCACAATGGTTAAGCACTCAGCTGCAAAGCAAAAGGTCTACTTCCGTAAAAATTTACAGCCTTGGAAACTCTATGGGACAGTTTTACTCTGTCCTATACAGTCAGACACTTTAACCAATTAATTGCTGTATCCTCTGTGCTTAGAATAGTGTTTGACACAAAGTAAATGTCAACAAATATTTTTTTGATGAATCTGAGAAAGCAGAAGGAGCTCTGATGGCATAGTGCCTAAGGCATTTGATGCTACCCAGAAGCCTGGCGGTTCAAACCCACCAGCCACTCCTCGAAAGGAAGGTTGGGCAATCTACTTCCGTAGTGATACTGCCTCAGAAACCCAGGGAAGGGTCGCTAGGAGTCAGAACCGACTCGATGACAGTGAGTTTCGTTTTTGGTGATGTAGTCACTTTAAGTCAGAATTGACTCGATGGCACTAGGTGTACTATACTCTATTGATTAAAAAACAAAAGACCTTTCAATGAATATTTTCTACCTCTGACTCCTTGAAACCATGGATAAATATTCCAGCCAGAAGGGAAAAAAAGGCCATTTTATTATCATCAGGCCCAATAACACCAGGATTTTTAAAAAGTGTTTATTAGGTGCCACCAAGTTGGTTCCAACTCATAGCGACCCTATTACAACAGAATGAAGAACACTGCCTGGTCTCACGCCATCCTCACAACCCTTTTCCCTCTAACTCATCCTACGTGCTAACACCAATTTTAAGTTTCTCCCCTACTCAAAATAATAATAATAATAATAATCTTTAGGATAAAGACCAAACTCCTTGGCCTAGCATTCAAAGTTCTAAGATGCAGGGCCACCACCACCATCAGCTGCTGTCTAGGAAATTCCAACTCATGCTGTTCCATGTGTGGCAGATTGTAACTGTGCCCCACAGGGTCTTCAATGGCTGATTACCTGGAAGTATATCACCAGGCCTTTATTTCCAGGCACCTCTGGGTGGACTTAAACGTCAAACATTTCAGTTAATAGCTGATCGCATCAACCTTTTGCCCCACCCAGGGACTCCATCCTTTAACATAATTTCCTACAACTCTCCTTCTCTAGGAGCTCTGGTGCCATAATGCCTAAGGCATCTGACTGATAACCAGAAGGCTGGTGGTTTAAACCCACTAGCCACTCCTCAGAAGGAAGACTGGGCAATCTACTTCTGTAGAGATACCGCCTCAGAAACCCAAGGAGGGGTTGCCCTTCTCTAGTCAAATTGGCTCTTCCCTCCCTTTCCCATAGGGAGCACACTACAGGGATGTTAGAAACCCCAACATCATAAATAGGTACAAGGCTTCTTTTACCAAAAACCAGAACAAAGACTAAGCATTTAAATTCCCCAACTAAAACCAGCCTTCACTTGATAATCTGGGCTAACAAATGGCATAGGAGGTAGATTTAATAAGATCAATGCTGTCAAGAAAAATGTAAGTAATACCTTCTTTATCAACTATAAGGAACTCTGGTGGCGCAGTGCCCAAGGCATTTGACTGCTAACCAGAAGGCTGGTAGTTCAAACCCACCAGATGCTCCACAGAAGAAAAATGGGTCAATCTACTTCCAAAAAGATTTACCACCTTAGAAACCCAATGGGGTTCGCTATAAGTCAGAACTGACTGGATGGCAATGGATTTGTGGATAGGTGTCAACTATGATTTGTCATAAATCATTTCTCTTCCTGAAGACACTATGATTTCTCTGGGCTAATTACTTGACTGCGAACCAGAAGGCTGGTGGTTCAAACCCACCAGCCACTCCTCAGAAGGAAAGTTGGGCAATCATCCATGAGTCAGGCAGGTCCAACTCAAGAGCACATAACAACAACAATTATCTGTTATCTAACGAACCTGGAAATCCTAATCCCTCCTATCTATCATCCCACTATTAATGAACATGCCCTTTCATTAGGCATTCTCTTCAGTGTGAATAGATCTAGTTTCCACGGGGTAGGGAATTCAATTTTAACCACAACAGTTTCAAAAACAGGACCTGACTTAAGAAAAAAACATTGCTCAAAAAACTTTCTGGCTTTATCATACTAATGTAAACATGGAAGTTATAATGTTGGCAAATATCTTGTTGTATATGTTTTCACCACAATAAAGGTAAAAAGAAAATGTGATTGGCAATAGAAAAAAGTATAGGAGCGGTATAACCATATGACATCATGGTCTTTTGACAATGTAGGTGGTTGTTGTTGTTGTTGTTGTTATGTGCCTTCGAGTCAACCCCGACTCATAGCGACCCCTCCTTGGGTTTCCGAGGCAGTATCACTACGGAAGTAGGATTGCCCAACCTTCCTTCCGAGGAGTGGCTGGTGGGTTTGAACCGCCAGCCATCTGGTTAGCAGGCAAGTGTCTTAGCCACTATGCTACTGGTTACTCATACTAATTAAGAAGATGGTGCCAAAGTGGGCATAACCTACAAAAGCACATCAAATTAATTTTCCTAAAGAAACACAAGCAGCTCTGGTACCATAGTGCCTAAGGCATTTGACTGCTAATCAGAAGGCTAGAGGTTCAAACACACCATACATCCCTCGGAAGGAAGACTGGGCGATCTACATCCATAGCAATACTGCCTTGGAAAACCAAGGAGCGGTCGCTATGAGTCGGATCCGACTTGACGGCAGTGAGCTAAGCTGAGCAAAGAAACACAATTTAAAATGGAAATGTGTTATAATTAACAATGCAAGGGAATAAAACCTGGCATTACATAAATGTAAAAAAAAAAAAAAAAAATCTGGCATGTTTTTAAAACCAAGGAGCAGTGACTGGAAAGGCCCATGTGGTGGTCATCTACGAATTGGACTACTATCACTCTCTGGCCCAAGTCTGGACTCAGGATTCATTGAATTCCTTTTGGGCTGGGGATAGTCAAATCCAAAACCAAACCCACTGCCATCGAGTCAACTGCAACTCATAGCAACTCTACGTAGGAGCCAACTGCCAACTGGACAGAGTACAACTGCCTCATAGGATTTTCAAGGCGTAATCTTTACAGAAGTAGACTGCCTCATCTTTCTCCCACAGAGCAATGGGTAGGTTCAAACTGTCAACCTTTTGGTTAGCACCCAAATGCTTTTACCACTGCATCACCCAGAGCTCCCTGAGGATAGTCAGCTTTCATTAAATATGACAGACTACAAAATATCAAATGCTGAGAATCAGAAGGAAAAATAAAACTAAAAGAGAGTTACGTGAATAAAAATTGAGTTAACAGCTTCATACTATAAATAGTTAAAAGCCAAAGCCAAGTAAAGGATGATTCATATATATATATATATATATATATATATATATATATATAAAAATACACACACACACACACATACATACATATATATGTGTATATATATGTATATATGTTTGTTTGTTATTTGCCATCGAGTCGGCCCTGACTCATAGCGACCCCTCCTTGGGTTTCCGAGGCAGTATCACTACGGAAGTAGGAATGCCCAACCTTCCTTCCTTCCGAGTGGCTGGTGGGTTTGAACCACCAGCCTTCTGGTTAGCAGTCAAGTGCCTTAGGCACTATGCTACCAGAGCTCCTTATGTATATGTGTGTGTGTGTATATATATATATATATATAATTCCTTACACTGTTAACTGAAACGCTTCACTGGAGGTTAGTGATTAGGCCAACGTGAGAGATGATTCATTTAGGTTTTTCACGTTAAAAATCTACCAAATTTGAAGGTGTGTTAGGAAGCGAAGTCAAGTCGGAATGGGGATCAGACTTAAGTGGAGTGGATCACCAGAAGCAGCAGCAAGGAGGTGGTTTCCTTAGAGATTTAATTCCAGTTCCTAGGCAGCTGTGTAGCATTAGACATGTGATAACCTTCCTGAACCTCAACTGTCCAACTCACAAGACAGGCTTTTCCCAAACCTTCTTGGGGCAGTGGTCTGATATAAAATAGAGAAGAGTATTGTGAGAATAAAAGGCAAGTACCAAAGTAACACATTACTACTGCGATTACTTATAGAATCATTACCCGCCAGGATGAAGCTTCCCACACAAGAGATGAAACCCGAGAGGAAAGAGTTGAAGGGGAAAGTCCCCACCAGGAGACAGTAACCGAACTGCAGCGCTCCGGTCAGCAATATATACAGGAGGTACGCGTCCAGCAACTTCAGACGCTGCGGAGTGGAGCTCAAGTACTCTTCTAAGAAGCGCGAAATCACAGACACAACTGACGCCGACATGACTGACTATTCGCTCAGTTCTCCGGCCCCAGATCCCCAAACTCCCGAAGGGGCACACGACACCGGATGTAATGTTTGCGCATGCGCACCGCTCCTCCCTCCTCGGGACGTCAATTTGCACAGGCGCATAAGCAGACCAAGATGCGCAGTAATTTATGGGCAGACGCAGACTGCATCGGAGACAGCAAACTACAGCCCCCCAAAAAAAAAAAAAAATCCAATGCGCCTGCGCAATACGTCTGTCCCTGGGCTGGAGACGTGGACTTTCTTTGTCCTATTTCCGCCGTCAGGTTGGTGAGGGCCACAGTTGCTTTGGCAACAAGATATCGTGGTGAGAAAAACGGTGGGCTATATGGCTATCAGAGGTTTCCTGCTCTCTGTGGAACTCCCGCATTTTCAAAGATTAACTGGATCTGCTTTGAGACAATGGCTGGCGTTCCGAGATTCGGTACAGCCTTAATTATGTTAGATGCGTTGTATGCGGATGCCCGTCCCAGATCGTTGAAGCAAATCAAGTTCCCTTGAAGTGAAAACCTCCGCGGCCAATCAGCTGGTGCCAGTTTAGACTTGGTTAGTCGGGAGATGGGGAAACTTGACCTATTCTGTGCCCTGAAGTGGATTGGAGGTCAGAATCTGGGGCACTTAGGAATAAGTTCGTAGGAGCCAAAGCCCGCAGAAATTCACTCAGCAAACATTTATTGAGCGCTTCTTCAGTACTTGGCATTGTGCTAAGTTGCAGGGACCCTCAGATGAATCAGACACAGTCGCCGCCTTCAGAGAGCCTGTGACCAAGGGTAGAACGGACAGTTATCATTTATAGAGTATATGATCGAGTTTAGCGGTCCTTTGCTCCCAAGCTAGTATCTTTAACCCGGCTTAATACCCCAGGATGTCAGCACCAAAGGCCTTGCGGGCTGGTGTCTGGTCCGACTCCTACCCCCTCCATTTTATTTTGCAGAGGAAAATTAAGGTTTGAGGGTGTTTTTTTGTTTTTAGTTATATTTTAAGAAAAACAAGTGGAATTAACTTTATTTTTTAGTGTTTTGACGTCTATTTTTAATACACCTATGGTAGCATAGTGCCTAAGGCACTTGACTGCTAACCAGAAGGCTGGCGGTTCAAATCCACTAGTCACTACTGGGAAGGAAGATGGGGCAATCTACTTCCGTAGTGATACTGCCTTGGAAACCCAAGGAGGGGTCGCTATGAGTTGGTCCAACTCCACAGCATACAACAACAACAACAACATGCATCATGTATGCTCTGGTAGCATAGTGCCTAAGGCACTTGACTGCTAACCAGAAGGCTGGCAATTCAAACCCACCAGCCACTCCTTGGAAGAAGATGGGGCAATCTACTTCCATAGTGATAACTGCCTCGGAAACCCAACAACAACAATATGCCTCATGTATGGACTATCTTGTTTTCCAATATTTCATATTTAAGACAACTTTAATCTTTATGCAATCTGCTTGGAAGGCAAGGGTTCGACAAAATAAATTCCTGAATCAAAAACAAGCCATGTGGCTTTAGAAAAAGCTAAAGTTTTTACCTTTAAGGTTTTTGGTTGAGTAACTAAAGTAATGTTCCTATGATAAACTCCTGACAAGTTTAAAACTTCGTAAGAAAGCCACAAAAGATTTTGTTTTATAAAGGAAAAAATGTTAAAAAGATTTATTTAATACGTTATAAAGCATGTTGTCAAATCAAGAGAAATACCAGATTTTCTAACTTAAGGAAGTCAAAGCATCTTTTTGGACAAGCCAACCTTCTGGAGACTTAAAAATTGTATTTAAATGCTCCAGGGGACAGAAGCAAACCACCACAGAGGTTAATAACTATCCCAAGATAATGGAACAAGACTCCATAAATGTTGCTAAATTTCATGGACTTTGTTTAGTATTTATAGGTATTTTTGTGTTAGTTGTCTAGTGCTGCTATAATAGAAATACCAGAGGTGGATGGCTTTAACAAACAAATTTATTCTCTCAGTTTAGGAGGCCAGAAGTCAACTCTAGGGGAAGACCTCTCTGTAAGCTCTGGGGGAAAGCCCTTGTCTCCTTTCAACATCTGTGGGCCTGGCTTCCTGGGGAGGTCTACATGTATCTTGGCATCACCTTCCCCTGGGTCTAGAAAGAGGTTCTCAGCACAAGGACCTTGGATCTAAAGGACATGCTTCGCTCCCAGGTCTTTCTCAGTAGTAGTCAGGTCCCCCTCATCACCTCCCCCCCCCCCCAATCTCTGCTCATTTCTCTCTCCATTTATCTCTTGTAAGATAAAAGGTGATGCAGGCTACACCCCAGAGAAACTCCATAAGATCAGATCAGGGCTGGGACATGAGTAAGGGTGTTGCATCCCACCCTATCTTCTTAATCTGATGGGCTGATCACATCATGGGGGATGATTATATCATTATATAACTGCCAAACCACTGAGAATTATGGCTCAGCCAGATTGACAGTATTTTAGGGGCAAACAATCACATTACTATTTCCTCAGCAATGAAGAAAATTATGTATCTTGAAGAAACCAAATTTGTAAAGAACTCTAGTTTAACACCTTGAATTAGTCTCTTAGAAATATCAAGTTGTTCATCCAAACATGGCCTCACTCTACACTTGTCACTTGTTCCAACTGGAAGATCACAGAAGCAGTGTCTAATCTATGACATGGTTAAGCAAGGTGTCTATCTATGATATAATAAATACAGAAGGAAAGCACCCCTAGAGTAAGCCCATGTAGAAGGAATCACTAAAATAGTGATTAGAGAATCTCTACAGAGATTCTTGATCAGAAGGAGGGAATGTGAAAGAACACTTGAAAACTGAGGGGACTGACATCACTAAGTGACTGACACTGGTTTAAATCCAAACTTCCTTTGCTCTATAGCCCTTCTGCTTTCAGAATATATGCACACACACACCCTTGACTGAATCATGCATATTTAAAACTATGATAAAAATATTTTGTTCTTAGAGTGCTTGTAAGTGATATATGACAAAGTTATAGTTGATAGTTAAATGAAAAGGATGTTGCAAGAAAGGAATGACAAGATGATTCTTCAAAAAGATGTTTATGTATGCAGTTTACTTACACAAAAGTCTATGACAGGAGATAGATAATTGACATTGTAAAAGGTTTTCTTGTAACTCATATGTGACCCCCAGTACTCCTGCATAAAAATCCTCTCTTCTTTTGGACTTCGGAGCACCTAGTATTTTACCAAGTGTTTTAACTGTCATATATATTTTACCCTACTTTTGACTGTTATAAATCCAGCAGTGAAACTCTTATTTCTCTCCTTACAGGAGTTCTAGTTATCTTTTACTCTTTAACAGTCTGTGACATCTTGGTCTGACCACAGAGGACACAGGTCGATGAGGATAGTCCAAGATTGCGAGTAGGCAGGAGGTGGCCAGGGGAGAGCCCAAAGCTACCAGGTCAGTGGATAGAGGCAGGAGGTGGGAGAGAAAGAAGAGGGCTGTGCAGGGCTGCAGGCTGGGGCAGACAGAACAAGCATGTTCCCTGCCCAGGGCAGGCAGCAGTAGGTAGCAAGTGGAGAATGAGCAGGGTCCCTACCCATGGTGGATATCAAGAGGCAGCCAGCAGCAGTCAAGACCCATCCACACGAGCCCAACCCCCATAGGCTTCCATGGTGTTGGGGAAGGGGAACCCCACTGTGCTATGCATGGGAGGGGACACCTGATGGGCAGTGGGTAGTATCAAAAATGAGATGCAGCCCCCATCTCACATAACACTGATTTCACATAATGACCTGGTCTTTGAAGCCTAGCCATGTTATTAAGTGAGGAGTAGGTGTAACCTCTGCCTTAATTTTGGCTTTCAGCCTAAACCTTTTTATGTTGCTGAGGAAAAAGAGAGAGTAGATAACCATACTGGTTCCTGTTTCCATATAATGTGACAGTAAGCATCGGTCTCTGTGACTTGTTGAACTTTTTTCACCTGTCTCATCAGCAAGTATGAGGGTAGCTTCCTCACTAGTACTCAGCTTTGAACTTTATAGGCTGGACTGATGCTTTTTTTATCATTTAGGAGTAGATTCCACAAGGGGTTTCTATTCCATCAGCCAGTCTCTTTCCAGCAGTTTCTCCCTTAGGTATTGTCTGCTTTTGATCCATGTCAACTATCATCATTAGCATCTCCACACAAACTCCCGCAGGGAAAAAGCAGAAGTGAAAAACATAAAATTCACTTACTGAATTCATCCTTTTCTGCAACTTGCAAAGTCACACCAATATAATGAGCTAAATAAACCTTTTCTGGATTATTAAAAACTGCAAGAACAGGTCTTGTTCTTTGCCCAGTTTATGATCTTGTAGTCATTGAAACATTTTTAACCAACCTCTCATTAAGAAATTGCTAATACTAGTGTGGTTTCAATTAGTTTAAATGGGAATATTAATATATGTAAAAATTCATGGGCAGAATGGTGGCTAAGGGTACAATCTCTAGAGTCAGACAAACCTACATCTGAACCTTGATCATGCTGTTTACTGATTTTCTGTTGTTGTTATGTGCTGTCAAGTCATCTCTGACTCATAGCGACCTTTTGTACAACAGAATGAAATCCTGCCCAGTCCTGTGCCAGCCTCAAAATCCTTATTTTCTAAATAATTTAGTCTGACAGCCTTACTTTCCTTTTCTGTGAAATGAAAATTTAATTCTGTGAAATGAAAATAAAATACCTGGATTATTTGGGTGTTAGGATTAAACAAGATAATGTGAAGCATTAAGCACTTAGCACAGTGCTTGACTCACACTAATTGTTTAATCAATATTAACTATTGTTAACCTTGGTAATTAACTATATCTGCTTTCCCTGTTTCTCTGAATAATTAAAAGTTGGCCAAAATCACAGAGCCCCAATTTGTTGTGCATACAAGAAATAGCACTGGAGGGGCTGCAACTCAGATGACTCTCAGAAGGCAAATTTATAAGTTGAAGCTGAAGTCAGAGTAGAACTTAGGGGTTTTATGAAA